GTTTTCATTTCCACCCAAGAACTGATCAGTGAAACTGCGTGCTTGAATAAAATTAAAATAAAAATTTCCCATATTAAAAAAAAAACCATGCTGAATTAATTTACCAGCAACGTGTAATCACGATTCTGCTCATCATGACATCATTTGCAAAGAAGATATGTTTCAAAGCAATATTTGAATAACTAGAAGTATTTTCACTACTCTTGCGTGTAATTTAAAACTTTAGAAAACGTCATTATTGACTATTTACCCCATCTAATTCCATTTTTTTAATTGTGTATATTGTATATCGAGACGTGGAACTATAATACCTTTCATAAGTCAGTAGACAGCCAATTTTGGTGCTCCAGAAGTATGTCTACCTTTATGGATGTAACTGATTTTTTTCGCCTATTTTACATCAAGTTGTTAATTTAAACACTTGTTCATCATTATTCATTACTATGAATAGCAAATTTAGTTGAGCACTAGCTCATAAAACGTTGTTAAATAGGTACGGTACGGTAACTTCAAGGAAGGCTAGACTTGAAAAAATACCGTATGTCACAAACAATGATATTTTCATGCTTGTATGGAAGGTTTATGAATCATTTAATGACGATTTTTGAGTATTCAGCAGACTTATACTACTATAATATACTCTACGGTATATTTGATTCAGAAAATAATGGCCGTTTGTGTAATGCCCGTTTGTGAGAAAGAGAGGAAAATAACCAATTTTACTAATATCAGTTGGTCTGAATTCACAGAGTCGACAAGAACCTGGGCAGCAATAATAAGTTATGCAGGAGTTGAAAGAAAAATAGCATTGGAAGCGATTGAGAGGTGAGTAATCTTGTATCAAATTGTTGACAGTTGATGTTTTAAAGTATATAGGGCATTTAAGACTGTGTCATTTATCTAGATTCAGTGTACTGTAGTATAGTATGCAAACACTGCAGGACTGTAGTATATAAGATTAAATGCAATACCTTAGAGCAGGGGTTCTCAAACTTTTGGTCTTGCGGAGCCCGTGAAGAGGTTGACTAATATTCACGGAGCCCCAATTTCACAGATAAATTATATATATAAAGGCTGTAAATTTGGCACTTGACAAACGTATTAATAAATTAGGGGTCGAATCTTGTCCCTTTTGATATTTTTAAAAGACTTAAAAGGTCGCTAATAACGCGCGAGATTGCATTTTGTTACAATCACCGATTGTTTTCGTCAGCGTGGCGTGTTTTTTTAAAACCTTAACATCTTTACGTCGGTGTTTATTCTCCCTAGATCGAAAATTCCCTACGTCATATACATGTATTGTTCCACAATGACGACGATAATTGCTCTTTTGTTCTCGTGGGTAATTATGAGTTCAATCTGAAAGCATCGCTACCATATTATAGTCATTGCTTGATCGGCGACGAGAGGCTAAAATATTTATTGAAGAGGTAAATCCGCAACTCAAATTCTTTGATTAAAAAGCGGCATTATGAATGATTAAAACTAAAACTTAAAACGGAGGATAACACTAAGTTTTGTTTCAACAGACTCACGACAGATAAAAGCTTTCTTAGACATTGTAAATCCTAAAATTTGGTGTTATGTTAGATTTTCTTTGGTTATTCATCGTAGTAACTGAAATCAAAACACAGTCAATTATGCGCGCGATGTACCTTTAACCATTCTGAGACTACCGACGGAGCCGCGTGCAATAACATAAATTTCAATCGTTCGTATTTTGCCCAGATCTTGTGATTTTTTAAACGGCGATATCTTGCAGAGAATCTGAGTGGCAGACCTGTGCGGTAAGAGTTAGTGTTGCAAGAACGGCTCAAATATGTCGAATTCGCTATATCTACCACACTGCCACGCAATCAGCCATGACTACGATTATGAATTAATCGGGAAGGGCACAAATATATTATCAAACTACTGGCACCGGTAGTAGATATGTTTTTTTTTGTGGGCAACATGACTTTGTTTCTAATATCTTATGATAACAGCGTTGTTCAGGATATACGGTAGTCCACAAGAACTTCGTTCACTTAACTTTGTTTCTCATTTCATTTCCGTGGATTGCCGTGGTAATTTGAGAAGTAATGATTTATTACATTGAACACAATTAACCCAATGAACAAGTCATTTTAAATATGCCCGCATCGGTCATAGATTGCAAATTGTCCTTTTTGAGTTTTAACGTCAACCTAGGGCTTTTTGTAACGCCGATATCTTGCCTAAAAATAATCTCAGTGCGAAAAAAAACAAATCAAGTTTGACAAATCCCAAGATCGCAAAAATAGGATTCCGATTTATTTATTGTTGGCAGTTTATCACGTATTTTATATTATTTTAGAATAGTAATCTTTTATTTTAGTAATCCTAATAGTAATCTCGAATCAAACGTGAGTAACGATAAGCACAATTAAATTATTATGACAAGACATTTTAAATGTTGCTCACAATGGTCATGGATTGAATATTTTAGCAAACAGAAATCTCGTTATCCACTGAAAAATTTTTTTTCAATCGCGAAGAATGTTGCGCGAAAATTTCCGATTCCAATTTTGAACCCCTCTCCCTCTTAAGAATCCTGGCTGCGCTCCTTCTTATAAATAATGTCATTTCTGAATTCCGCCTCTTTGCCATATTTCGAGGCTATACTGTTGTCAAATTTTATTAAACCTGTTATTGCTTCTTTGAACAATTACAAAATTAGCAAAGTCAGTATTTTGAAAAGTAATCGAATAGCACGCGGAGCCCCTAGGTTTCTTCCGCGGAGCCCTGGGGCTCCGTACGGAGCACTTTGAGAACCTATGCCTTAGAGAAGTATTAGTCAGTATTTAGTGGTATTTTTTATTTGTCGAAAAACACTCATGTTGTTCCGAATATGATTTTCTTCCTCATTTTAGATACGGTACTACAGAAGAAAGCGACATTGTTTCACCCATCCCACGTAACGCACGCTACCAATGCTGCTGCTATCAGCGCTATACTGTACCTGTAAGAATAAAATGAATAAAAAAAAAGCGTAATGGTATATGAGAATCATAACAGTTGCAACAGGCTGTTCATATTGAAATACATGGCATTCTTCTGCACTTGATAGGAATGAGGATTTCGGAAGCAATTTTAAAGGAAAGTGAATTAAATATTGAAGTTAATATTTATGATGAATACTATTTATCAGATTTTTTCAGACATCTGTTAGTGTCGAAATTCTTGTTTCTATAAACAAGAGAGCTAAGCTCAAATATATGGACACGTCACGAGGTGTCGCTATTTTTTATTCTGACTCATAAAAAAGGAAGTCTTAAAGTCCACAGAAATTTTTGAAATAAGTAAAAGTAATAGCCTTCTGGCGAAAAAATCAATCTTTAACAACTGAAAATTTCAAAGCATTTGGTCCTGTATTCGAAGAGAAAAGCGATTTTAGGGTGACGGAGAAGAATATGAACAACAACAACATAGCATTGAAACGATCGTTATGTACACTGACGTGTCCAAAAATATTGTCCTTGTTTCAAATACACAACCACATAAACTGAAAAGACTAATTGTAATATTCCTGTTCTCTATGTTATGTACATACTGATTCATTTAATTTTTTTGACTTTTCCGTGTAAATTTCTCAGTAAGAAATAACCGATTTATTTTTGTACTCACGATGTTACTTTGTGACTGCATTGCATAAAAATTGATGCGTTTTATGGCTTCTACAAAATGAATGCAACTTTTTATTCCGTGTTGTTGTAAACCTACGGTTTTTGATGATTCACTATATATATATATATATAATTTTTGCATTAGGATTATTAAAGCATTTTTTATAGAAAATGTGCAACTTCCGTTAGTGGGAACAAGCTGTAATGCGTTCAGTACGTTCATTTTCATATAAAACTGAAGAATTTATTTAGTTTCAATATGTGCGTTACGAAACTCGTGTCTAGGCGTTTTTCGTGTCCTCGTTTCATGGCCTAACCCTACCCTACGACAAAGAGGAGTGCAGCAATCCTCTCGCACATAACCATTCCCGCACGGGATTCGAACCTGCGAACTCACGCAGATTAATCAGAGATGGGGTGGCGAGCGTATTACTAACGCTTAGCACGAAACCACACAGCCGGGCCAATAATAACCGCACCTTGGTTGTTTGCCTGTCTTTCCCCATTTGAAACTGGCATTGGAGATTAATATTTCACCGATATCTGCAGTATATTATTAAATCAAATAATATTTATTTCTGTTGCAACAATTTTCTCGAAATATCAGAAAAGTATTTCAATCCTTTCGGGTCTTATGTGGCTAGTTTCAATTATAACACTTGGCTGAGCATCGCAACGCGTCTGTATTTATCGAAATACCCGACAGAGGAGAATCTTCAAACTGTTTTAATGCCAATTCGTATGATTCATCATGCCTGACACGACTAGTCTACCAGCTTTATTTAAAATAAATAATAATAATCAAGGAAAAAAACGACTTTTTGTGTGAACTCGGTAACGTTGTCGATTATGGAATAGAGAGTCATCTGAGCGAAAAGAATAATCTGCAGGAAGACTTGACATTCGTAGAAAAGTTTTGGAGTGTCTTTGAAATGGGAGGTGAGTTCGATTTACCACGGCGATTGTTGCATTGAAAAAAAAATCACCACTTTGTTTCAGTAATAACTCGCAATAGGCTGATATCAAGTCGAATAAATAAATTCCAATTATTTAATATCTAAATAACGTTGCTTAACGTGAAATGGAAATTTTTTTGTCACAGCGCCAATGTGACTTATATTTAACCTTGCTCTGTCGGTTTTTTTGACATAATGTTACGCATGGAAGCATTGGTATCTCAGGAGTGCTGTACTCGAACATTGGAGCTTGCCACAACTCTTAGCTAGACTAACTACTTGACTTCTACCTTCATATTTACTAGCATTTAGAACATTTGATTGTCATTTCAAACTACACACCCTAAATAATAACAAGAACTATACAACATTTCTATTGAATACTAGACAGCTTAATTAACCGAAGGTTATTATTCGAGAGAAAAGGCAGCAAACAAAAATTTGTTTTGTTCATATCTTCAGCAAAATGATAACAGGCAGTGTTAAACGAAAAAATAACCCACATTCTATAGTATGTACATGGTAAAGGCAATCAGGGTATATACATCTTTCCACAATAAACATAGCCTTATGCTGCAAATTTATATATATATATATATATATATATATATAACGAGCCTCTATTGAAGATGTCCAGTATAAACAAAATCTATAGGGGCATGAGAGGGCAGAGGGTTTTCTAATTTACAATGATAAGTCTGTAAGCATGCATCAATATGGCAGAAATATAGATACAAATAAATTTGTGGTTTTCCAATGTTAGCACCTTATTAAATCACCAGCAGAAAAGTGTTAGTTTACAAAAAATCTGATCAATTTTCTTTTCCATAGCTAAAAGACCTTTGATTACTTCTTGATCTGTCTGGAGAATGTAATTTCTTTGCTGATGACCTTCCACTGAAAGAAACAGAAAGAGACCTATTTCCTTGTATGGGTGGTGTACCCTGGTATCTTGGAAGCCTGCTATTCGAGGTAGTTGTATGCATCTTCGCAGGACTGTACCCAAACTAAAAAAATGAAAATAACATGTTTACCAGAACTCAAATTTTGTGAATTTGATAGACCGCCGTAAATATGGAATGAATGAATTTTGAATGTGTGTCAAACTGAACAGAGACATTGGTGCCTCATCAAGCGTTGCATCAAACAGGTAAAATTTTGATCCATCATTAACCAATCTGATAAATAAAATGCTAAGCTGAGAAGTGACACTAACCAAGCATATTTTTGGGCAGAGAAATATTGCTTGGAGCAGATGGCAAACAGAAGATTAGATAAAGATTTGATTCTATGGAGTTGCTCACTTGAGATTTTCCTTCTGTTTTCATGGAATTCATTTCATTAGTAAGTACTGCAAGTGGCGATCGTACTTGTGATTGTGTATATGGTTTGCTTTCTGTTTTCTGGAATGAGTTTGACATTTGCCTCAATATCCTGTAATACAGAAAAAAATTTGCTTCAATGAATACCTAATCACGTCGATCGAATAATAACAAGTTCATCGGTATACAATTGATTAAAAGACAAGCTTAGAATCTATGTGAAATAAAAATATGATATGTTGGGCTTTTCACAGTGTTTGACCCCATTGGTTGATAGGATTGAATCCAATTGGTAATTTTTTTCATCAACCATGTTCAATCTTCTGAACAGGTTTGTTATTTATGTAATCCCATAGTATGTATACCAGGGTAGGGTTATGCCATAATTTTATTCAGATTTTCCTTATTTTAGTTCTATTATAAGTTCGGGACTGTCTGTGTTAGCCAAGTAAATATTCCCCCTGTCCATAGGTTTCAGACCCTTTACACAACTTGATGTAAGACAGGTGAACAAAATTAGTTACTTCCATATTGGTACACTTACTTCTGGAGTGCTGTTATTATGTATACATTGTGGAACGGTAAAAATATAAAGATGACAAGCTGTGGTTTATCTAATGATTCAGACGTCCTGATGGCTTCTCAATGACAAAGTAAATTTTTGAATTTCCATTTTGACTGTATCTATAATATAATACCTTTGATTGTTTTCTCGTCCCGAAGCATTATATATCAATGCAGTTTGACGAGTTGATTCATCAGTTGACAATGATCTGGCCTTTAATTGTCGCATTTTTGTGCTAAAACTGAGCGTGATGTGGGAAGGTGTGTCCTCAGACTCAGCTCTGGCAGATCTTCGACTGCTTGTGATCTTGGATGGCTGTCTTAATTTTCTAGGCTTCTTCTCTTCTAGAAATAAATATATTTACAAATTTTACAAGGTAAAAAGTGGCCAGTTTTACTGCTTCGAGTCAATTTACTAATGGTATTTCAAGAAACCCAAGTAGTAAAATTTGTGATAAAATAAGTATTCCATAAAGTAATATCATCGCAAACTTCAATAGACTTTTAAGAATGCGTCTCCATCATTATGACTCCCGCTTTAAAATTATAGAATGAGCATAACAAAATGATTTAGTACATAGAACTCACTAATAACTGTTTTATCTTCGGAAGCATTTTCCTTCTCTTTCGACTTCTCCGATACTTCTGAAGTGCTAGTATGAGACAAACAACACTCCGCTGTGATTTTCTGTTCGATGGCGAATCTATTGGAATCTGAACTTTTTTGTTCAGAATCATTTTGAATTTCGATAGGTTTTTCATTCTGTTCTGCCATTTCCAGATTGTCAAATGTGATGTTATCTTCTTTGTGGTCAGTGATTGAGTCGGTCACTTCCATATCAATTGAAACTTTCCCAATTGTTGAAACTGATTCCTCTTCAGCACCAGTGACAGATTCTGAACAAAAAAATTAATTAAATTAATCTGGTGTTTGGGACCTAAATAAGAACCATTAATTTTTAGAATTTCAAAATTAAAATTGTGTTCATCCTGAATAAAGAACAGAAGGACCACAAAGTGAACAGATAACTGGCAAATGCCAAGAAATAGTATTATTGTAATAACACAAACGCACTTACCACTATCATTAGTTAAATTTTTGGAATTAACTTTGTGTTCATTCACCGACGTGACTTGAGAAACCTGCGGTTTACTTTCTACCATTTCTGGTAGAAGGCACAAAAGTTTTTCAGTTTGGTTTTCTTCAACATTACAAAGAGGAATTTCAGATTCAAGTGGCTGAGTTTTGGAGATTCCAGATTCATTGCAATCTGTATCCTTCATATTATCAACAAGGTTCTCTGACCCAATCGTAACAGATGCAGGTTTTTCATAAACTTTGTTAGAAGAAGACTCATCATCATTCACATCAATACCCTTTATACAGTCAGACATTTTCTTATCGAGTGTTTCATTAGTTGATGAATATTCATTATGTGCAAACTGGAAGTCAATGGTTGCATTTTTGGCTGCCTTTGAATCACGGTCGCCTTCTTTAATGGCCATGGAGACTAGATCAGATACTACTGGTTCCATGGTTGGTTCTGCATAATTAGGCACATTATTGACTTGTTCATATGTACTTCCATCTGCTTCTGTGGTTGGACCATTAGTAGTAGATACATTTTTGTCCTCATTCAACATTGATCTGCTGACTTCATTGATTGCCTGTGTATTTGTATTAGTAGATTGCAGAGAGTCTCCATCCTTATTTTCTACTTGTGGTTTATCAACAATACTATTAGATGTGTTGTCATGTTGTTTTACTATCATTGCTGCTTCCATTGCAATGGAACAAGATTTTTCAGAGTCCTGATTGAGCAATGGTATTTCTTCACTGGCCTGTTCTTCATTGACTGACCTTGTATTCGGTGCACCCGCGCCATGATTGCAGTACTCATATTTTTCCGAAACAACACTAGTTGATGCAGAAACAAACTCATGATCATTTACAAGACAATGATTGTGAGGTTCAACATTAATATTAATCATATTTTGAAGCAAAGATTCAACTATGTTATCATCATCCAGATCATCTCCTGTTAGTGAGGCTTCACTACTTTCATCAAACGAAATGCAATCAACTTCACTTCCAATACTGGCAACCATACTTGATGAACAAGAATCATTCAATAGGTCGAAATCACAACAAAGAATGGCTGGAATTTCATCATCAATTTCAGACGCTTCTGCAAAGGAAATGCCAGTACTAAAAACTAAATTGAATGTATCTAAACTAAACACTTTGGAAATGCTTATGTGAGATTTACACCTCGAAATAATTTTAAAACTTACATCATATACATAAAAACACAGTATATTCATGGCAGGACTTTAGAGCTCACTTGCATCAGTCATCTTGTACACAGTAAAGACAGAAAACACTACATAAGAAAAGTAACTTTGATACATAAGTCAGGCATCAATACGGAATACCTAAATTATGTTCCTCTATTTACCTTGGTCAGTGTTAACATTTTCTTCTGGTTTGGATGTTGTATCAACTTGTGATGAAGGTTTTTCCACGACTGTAACCTTTTTATGCAATGGTTTTGCCATAAGAGCATTCGTCATCAAGACTGTTCGACGTAATTCCCGATGGCCTTTAATTAACAAGATGCAAAATAGTTGACAAGTCTAAGACAAATATCCTATCAAACAAAATAAACCAACCTGAAAACAATGCTCCCAATGGTGTCCTTGAAACATCTGTTGTGGGTGATCTAGGATCGTGAAGATTTCTGGAAGTCACTACATCAGTTTGATATTCTGGCTTATCCATTTTGGCTACAGGAGTTCTAACAAGTTCTTGTGTTGGAGATCGTGGATCAGCTTCAGAATCTGAGGTATAGCCTACGTTATGGAGCCCCTCGAGCTTCTTTGGTGTATCACAAATGAGAGTCGAACTCTTGTTTTCTGGAATATTTTCTTCATTGAATGCATCTTGTTGGAATAGTGGAGTTCTTACAATACCTTGTGAAGGTGACCTATTAAATAAAAGTTAATTTGCAAATGAATCAAAAGTGCAAAACTTGCTTATTTAACATAAAAAAGATAAAATGCCAATTAAGATACCTAGGATCCAAGATCGCTGGGTGATTCGGATTCACAAGAGATGTGTATGAGAATTTTTCTGGTGCTTTGCTGCAGTGTTTAGTTGATAACGGTGTTCTGCAGTCTGCAGCTTGAGGCGCAATGTCCGTTATCTGATTATTCTGTGAATTTGATACTGCATGCCTATTTCTCAAGCATCCTTTGTTTGCAGAAGTGACTGGAACTTCTATTGGAGTTCTATCCACATCAAAAGATGGTGACCGAGGGTCATCTTGCAACACTCTCGTCTGCTGCATGAGAGAATCAGATGCAAGTGAAAAATCTGCTCCGGACTTCTTCTCATATTTGTTGGTTTTTTGGGGAGTTTCTGTGCAACAACGACTTTCTGAGCTTCCCATATCTCTGTATTACGTTTTCTCTAATGCAGTAGGCCAATTATATTTGTTCTGTTATTAGATTGAAAATATTTTTACAATCTATGGTACGGTACCGTTAGGGCTGGGAATTTCAGGGAGAACACTTTAACCGTTGGCGTTAACCGGGTAAAATTAATCTATAATTTCAGCTTGTTAAGTCACAAAGCAATTTCGCGTGTTTTTATCCCGGTATCCCTCAAAATTATTCACGAATCAAGATAGTTTCATGACTGATCTGCTGCAATAGATAGACGATGTGGTTCGGACATGTAGAAGTATTTTAGAAAGCCCGATTCCGTCTTCAAACGTAATTTATGTGACAATATTTCAGTGTTCGATGTGCAAATTCTACTTCGAGATATATATTAAGGAAAGACAGCATCAACTGCGCACTTGTTGTATGACATTGAATATCCGATTTTGCAATGAAATCGTAAATCGACCGAAAACTGATTCTGAATTCATCATTGTCAAATTTCCATAATCAGCAATCTTGGTACTCCCCCTCTTTTCCACATTTATTGAGTCCTTACCCACGAAGTTAGTGATATTCTTTTGAATTAAATGCCACAAGAAATAAATTTGCGATTACGTAATCATATTTGAAGAAATTGTACGGTATAAAGATGATTTGTACCCGAGATGTCAGTTAAAGGTTAAAATAAATCGTAACCGTTAACCATCTGAAATTGGTTAACCATTCCCAGCCCTAGGTACTGTCGATAAGATAGTTGTTTGAATTGAAAAACAACAGACTGACAGAACGAGCAATTTGCAAAACCGGTGCAGTAACTGCTGAACTGTGTCAGTCGGTACCTGTAGACTATGGTACAGTACCTTGGCAACAAGACTGCAAGATGAATACTGAATCGAATCTTATGGCAGTACAGCACACTATCCAAATTCCAAGAATTTCCCTCCATTTGGTTCAATAAAACAAACACTTCATGTGTCTCACAAACGAGGGGCGTCTGGCACCACTTCAGATGCTACATATCGCGTGTAATCTGAATTAATCGCGGCTGTCACGTGACCAAAATTGCCGTTTTTTGCTAAAAACTCTCGAATGCCACAGTAAAATTTTTTTACCTTCGATAAATCGGATTCTTTTTTCCCCGAGGAATTCAATGAGGACGTTATTAGATTGCGCTTTTTTGTGGTATTTCGCGCAACTTCATGATACTGTATATTTACCGATATTGAGGAACAACAATGTCCAGACATCTCCCAAAGCAGGGGTGTCTAATCATCAATAAAATGGGTTTCTCTGAAAAGAGACAATGTCACTTGATCTGTATAGTGTGCCGTACTGTATGGTTTTACTATTTTAACACTATAAGTATAAGCTTATTTCGACTCCATAATCAGCATAACAATAAGATGATTGGTAAAAACAAATAAATAAAAACTGATTATGAAATCCGGAGAGCAAACAAAACCTTAGATAAGGTTTAAAACATACCAATATATACTGATATAAGATGGAAGGTTTGGCCAAGACAGCAAGAAGAAGCGGTACCGGTACACTAACCTAAAATAAATGAAATATTTTACACACACAGCCATAGAGAAGTTATAAAGTGAGAACATGATAAATTACATACCGGTACTGGTAGTAAAAAATAAATAAAAATTTCTTGCCACACCATATGCAGATATGCCATACCGGTATTCTGGTATTAATAGTTTTATAATGTTTGCCACTGCCCATAGACACTATCAATTTCAATCAATCAACTGGGTAAAAAAATTTTAACTTCGGTAAATCGGATTCTTTTTTCCCCAAGGACACTAGCAGACTTGATTAAAAAACAAAATAAAAATCGAATCCCAGCGTTTTCAGTCATTTTAACACAAATAACAAATTCTACTGCTCAATGAGAAGGATGGAAGGGGAAATTACTTAACAAAAAATACAAACCAAAACAAATTCCAGCATTGGGCATTAGCTGAAGCTTTTTCAAATACGACTGGAGCCTTCGCTCATTGGCCAACCTTTAACCTATACACGCTTGAATGCGGTCACCAGAGTAAAAGGGTTGATTACTTCAGTGGTTTACAGCCGGTTTGAATCCGCGAAACATTTTTTATATAGCATAAATTGTTTGCGGAACACCATATCATACTTTTGGATTTACCGGTAATGGATGGTTTAATTATTTAATAATTACCTTCATTAATTTCGGAAAGAAAAATAGCTCTGACACTTGGGTTGGAAAAAGATGTAACAAATCTAATCTAATCGGCGCGGCGGTGTGGCTCAACGGGCTAAGCGTTAGGAATACGCTCGCCACCGCACCTCCTAATTACTCTGCATGGGTTCGCATGTTCGAATCCCATGCAGGGATGGTCATGTGCGAGAGGATTGCTGGACTCCTCGCCGTCGTTGGGTGGTTCACGTAACCGCTGGTCGGTTACGGCTTCCACCAGCTCCATGCTTCCGAAAACAAACAATATAACTAATCCCATACCCGACTTGGAATGGTAACCGGACGAGAGGCCGTGGTTCGCCATATGGATAAGCCGTCTAATCGGCTTTCCTCTCCCCCGGGATAAATATGTAAATCATATCCTAATTAGTAGTAGAATGTAGTAGTAGTAGTAAAAAAAAAGAAAATTATGTAGTAGTAGTATTTTAGTCGCTGTTCTGACAGTCGCTATTTGGAACCCGAGCCATTATATACTACGAAATGATCCGTGTGTCAACCGGATCAGGAGATACGGACTTCAGCAAATCAATCCGCTTCAGAAAAATTCAAAATTACCAGGACAACTTCATATTATTACTGGATTTTCGAATATGTTCACCGACAGCGACTATACTAAGCAAGCTACGCAGAAAATAACTTTGATATTATACCAAATCAATTTTGCCGAGCATATGATATATATACGCAAGCCGATTTTTTAAAACCAAGCAGCAGCATTATACGACCTATTGTCTGGCCTACGAACGAACATGTATTTTATTCTCTCAAGTCGACCCATCATCATCTATAGCAGCATCATTGGAAAACCAAGTCGAACACAAATGCTCGTGGCCCGCGGAAAGGGTATAGTGATTGGTTATCACTACACATAGATTGTTTGTAGATTGGTCTGGTTCAGGGGTCGGGAACCTTTTTGGTCAAGAGAGCCATAAAAGGTACATATTTTCAACTATATTTCCGTGCGAGCCATATAGCATTTCTTCACTTAATCAGGCCTGAAATTTTCATTCAAAATTCAAATGTCAATATACATTTAAGGTGACTTCGCTGCGGGCCTTGAACAGCTGCTCACATTCAGCACAAGTTGGAATCTAAGATACTTATCGTTATCATTTATCACCCTTCTTTCGTTTAGGCATCTCCGTAGTATTTTTAAAACTAGCTTTGCTATTCAGATCTGAATATGACAAATATTGTTGTAACTAGTACATACAAACGGACGAAAAGATTTATTATATTGCTCCGCGACTCTGAGTCTGATCGCTTTGTAATGTCACAAAATATGTTTCAGAACCCCCTGGTATTGTCACAATCAGGGATGCAACTTTTGGATTCACGAATCGGATCGATTCGAATCGCATCTTTTCCGAGTCGATTCGAATCAGATTGACGCGATTCGGAAACAGAGAGCGATTTACCGACAAAATAACATTGAACGTTTGTTAAATCGTTGTTTTCGGCGGCTTTAAATCTGCCGAATGCGATTATGCGGCACTCCAAATAACACCAAATTACGGGACCGAAAAAAAAACATTGAACATTTGTTAATCGTTGTTTTCGGCGGCGTTAAAACTGCCGAATGCGTTAATAACACTAATACCAAATAACACTAAATTACGGGACGGAAATAAATGAAAACGAATTTTTCGTGATTGGCTTTTTTACTTATTTGACGTCATTTGTTTCAAGTTCGGCACAACACACTCTTTTACGTATCACTCGACATGATTTTGTGGCGTAATTTCCACCAAACCGCGAGTTCAGTTTTCCACTAAATAACTTAAGTTTCTATTACGGGCGAATTTAAATAGATCGTATACCTAAAAATTCGTGACAATTTTGATGAACATTGTCAACAGCACACCTGCGCTGCGACTAAGTTATTGTACGCCCTGGCATGATTGGATAAAGAATCAGCTACAGACGTCTAGTACTATTTAATTTTGATTGAAATTTAATTTAAACTTTGTTCTGAGTAGAATATTTCGCGTACATTTGAACAGAACTATTACTAAATGAGTTCATCGGCCGGCAATGTTAATTGACAATCATTTTTCTCATCCTAAAATATTTATTTATTTTGTTTGCGTTTGTCAGGCTTCCACTCGAGTGGCGATAAACGAAATCAGGGGGACATAATGTAATAGTACATTCACGTCTTTTTTCAGCTGTAACAAAAAAAGTAGTATTTACTTTTAATTTTGTTAGCGCGATACAAGCGGGAATAAAACATTTCGGATTATTTCTAGCAAATGTCATAACGGAAAGGTGGGAGTAAATAATACTTGAGGAATGGCAACTTGAGCACTGTTTTCCATCAACACGTGCCAGATTTCATACCAGACCAAGCATATTGTGCGAATGTCGTCTTACTGTAGGCCCAGAGACCATGTTTGATCGAGATAAAGCGTCGACCAATTATCGCTCGTCAGCGCGGCGTGCATTATGCACATTTGGAGTTTATGAATTACGAAATTAAACGTAGTCCACGATAATAATGAAGCCCGAGTTAGCCAATAATAACGCTGTAGCCACAAATAATATTGTCTCTAATATTTATGGAAATTTTTTCTCGCAATCGTAGTCGGTAATTTAATTGTGGTTAATTTTATCGTCTTCAATCATATTCTTGCAAGCATTTCCCATTAATATAAATTCGGATGCAATTAGAATGTTTTTGTCTTATTGCTCTATGCTGCTAGCATAAATATAAAATATTGTACTAAAATTTTGAAGATGAAGAATCGTTAATAGGGGCCGCCTTAATTCAATATAACAAGAATTGAAATACCACAGTCACATATACTGGTGTGGGACTAG